ATTGTAGAGACGAGGTCTTGCCAAGTTGCCCAGGCGGGTCTCGAACCCGTGGGCTCAGGCAATCCACTTACCTCAGCCTCCCAAAGATGCAGGATTACAGGCTGAGCCACCAAGCCCGGCTTGGTTCATGCCTTTAAAAACAATTCTTTTGCTACCATTTTTTTTCTTTTCTATATAGAGATGGGGTTGTCGCTATGTAGCCCAGGCTGGTCTCAAACTCCTGGCTTCAAGCCATCCTCCCACCTATGTCTCTCAGAGATCTGGGATTACAGGTGTGAGCCGCCATGCCCAGCTGCTACCATTTTTACTTGGGTTTTAGGAAGGAATGGTGTTATCCGTGTGTGGTCATCTGTGTTTATCTGACGTCAGCTTGAAGGCTTGTGCTCATACCCCTCTGGTGGACTCAGCCACCAATATTTTGTTGCTCTTGGGTATCGTTTTGTGTTGTAATTTCTTTGTGTAGAGTTTGTGAATTTTAGGTGATGGGGAAATTCTGGGGGAGAGGGGTGTGTTTGTGTGTATGCGTGGATTGAGAAAGTTAAGAACAAAATGAAAGGGTAGGTAATAAACATACAGCCAAGTATCTCCACCTCCTTAAAAAAAACAACCATGCTAGGTTTAAGCAACCTGGCTGGGGTCATAGTGGCCATATCACCCTTGGAGTCAGTGGATCTCCATGATATGCAGACTCTTCTGTGGCTCCAATGTGCTCTGTTGCTCCTCCGCTTAGGCCCCGAGACTCGTCCTGAGTGTTTCAGTTCTGTGTTGGCATCTGTGAAAACCACCTGAGCAGTCTGACAGCTCCCTCCACAGCCATTCCTTTTACTTGTTTTCACTTCCATTTTCTTATGCGCTTCCTCGAGAGACTAAGCAGAATAGAGACACTTAACTTTCCCAGCTTCTGACCTCATTGCCTCCTCAGCAGCCTTGCTACCAGACAGGGTGACTTGCCCCCATGAGAGAATATCGTGCCATAGCTGCAATTACTTCACTGCAATACGGCTCATAGCACAAGTCCAGAAACATCCTGGCCCCTGGCAGTGATCTGTTCCTGGTGGCAGTGCAGAAAAGTATCTGAGGAAGGGTATTGGTAGTGACTGGGGGTAATTAATCTTAAACTTTTGTTAACAGCTCCTTCCCCAGGAACTTACTCTCAAGCAATAATAAATAAGGCCAATTTCATGGCAACTATAAATAAAAGTGACTTTACTAAAATCGGTTATCCATATCATTTTATCATATATAGTCTAAGTAAAATCAGCACGCTCACTGTGCAAACATAGCTGTAGGCCCAGTACCCAGTATTCTCCCTTCCAGCAAGATTGCCAACCTGTGACATTCTCCTAGAGAAATTCTACACTGCTGAGAGCTATAACAGACTGTCCATATGTGAAAGGTATAATAGATGGTTTTCATATTATTATTTTTATTATTATTTTTGAGTTGGAGTCTCACTCTGTTGCCCAGGCTGGAGTACAGTGACACGCTCATGGCCACTGCAGCCTTGACCTGCTGGGCTCTGATCCTTCCACCTCAGCCTTCCAAGTTGCTGGGAATAGGCACCCACCACCGTACCCAGTTAATTTTTAAAAAAATTTGTTACAGAGATGAGGTCTTGCCATATTGCCCAAGCTGGCCTCAAACTCCTGGGCTCAGGCTGTCCTCACACCTCAACCTCCCAAAGTGCTGGGATTACAGGCGTGAGCCACCATGCCCGGCTTGAGGCCTAGGTCTCAACGTAAACAGCCGTTTCCAGAAGACCATACTGTGTTGATCATGATTAACACTTGATGGGAAACAGACTCTAGAGTGATTCATTGAGATCATGAGACCTCACATAATTACGCTTTTATGAAACAATACAAAGGAGTTGATTATTAGCATGGGGATTTTCTTTATGCTAATAGGATTAAAATTTAAGAATAAAATGGGCCAGGCTCAGTGGCTCAGCCTGTAATCCCAGCACTTTGGGAGGCTGAGGTGAGTGGATTGCCTGAGCCCGCAGGTTCAAGACCCACCTGGGCAACTTGGCGAGACCTCATCTCTACAATAAATCAAAAATCAGCTGGGCGTGGTAGCCTGCGCCTGTAGGCTGAGGCGAAAGGATCGCCGGAGACCAGCAGGTCGAGGCTGTGGTGGCCGGGAGCGGCCACTGCACTCCAGTCTGGGCGACAGAGTGAGACTCCAACTCAAAAAAAAAAAAAAAAGAATAAAATGGAACGCTAAGCCAAAGAACTGAGTATATGTTCCTTTCAGATAATTTGTAAAAAACTTGAATATAAGGGTCTATTAAACAGAAGAGAAGACTAAGACTTTATCCAATTGCTTATTCCTTATAAGAAGTAAGCATGTTTAGGGAACGAAGAGAGGTAAAGAAAGCTGAGTGTCTTGGCAAATCTTCACTGCTCATTTTAATCTTGTATGTGAAGTGTGTGTTATACGCTTGCCTTTCAGTGAATGACCTTTCGGTGCCTGTGAAGTCAAATATCAAACAGTAAAGCCTTAAGTAACAAGAAAATGCCAGAAGTAAGTTGATCTAGTTCAACTCTAGTAGAATTCTAGAATAAACTTTTTTTGGAGGGGGCTCTCACTCTGTTGCCTAGGCTGGAGAGCAGTAGTATGATCATAGCTCACCACAACCTCAACCGGACTCAGGCAATCTTTCCGCCTCAGCTTCCTGGGTAACTGAGACTACAGGAGTGCTCATCATGCCCGGCTAAGTTTTTGATTTTTTTGTAGAGATGGAATCTGGTTATGTTACCGAGGCTGGTCTTGAACTCCTGGACTCAAGCTCAGGATCCTCCTGCCTTAGCCTCTCAAAGTGCTAGAATGACACGCCACTGCACCCAGCAAATGATTTTGAATAGAAATTCCTTGCATTGCTAAAAAGCCACTGAACACATGTGTGCCTTTCCTTATTGTGCTTGGATGAATATAATTACATCTTGAATTTAGAGTTATGGCAGTTGTGTCCCCTCAGGGTGCCCATGGCTAATCCGTTTATTGAGCACGACTGGGAAAGGGTACTGTGCTGCCTAGAGAGAAGCAGGACACACTCAAGGAGGTCATACAGACCGGGCAGTGGCTGCTGCAGAAATGCTCCAAGTTCAGCCTCAGGTTTAGCGGGGCCATGATGGCTGTGGCCTGGGCGGGTTGAAGAGTCCTGTGGTGGAGGGCTGAGGGAGAAGTTCTTCTAGGTGTAGGGAATATGAGAACAAGGGCAAACCAGAGTAGGAGCAAGGTCTGTTCCAGCAGGCGGAGGCCAGACTGACCGATGGAGATAAGAATTACGCAAGGAAGCCTTGGAGGCAGCTCAAGGATTAGGTCACAGCAGGATGCTCTTTATCTTTCTTCTCTATTATAAGGATAATATACTTACCAGTTGAACCTACATACAAGTAGGTGAATAAAGTGAAAGCTTTTCTATTTTCATTCCATGGAGTTAAAACCAGACCTTTCCTTCACTGTCCTGGGAAATTTCTGTGCAAACACACAAAAAATGATACCTTATATTCTGTACTATAGCTTGCTTTTTTAGAACTTAAAATATCTAGAAGTTTCTTGAACATCTTTTATTTATTATTATTTTTATTTTTTTATTTTTTTGAGTTGGAGTCTCACTCTGTCGCCCAGACTGGAGTGTAGTGGCCGCTCCCGGCCACCGCAGCCTCGACCTGCTGGGCACCGGCGATCCTTCCGCCTCAGCCTTCCAAGTAACTGGAATTACAGGCATGTGCTACCACACCCGGCTAATTTTTGATTTATTATGGAGATGAGGTCTCGCCAAGTTGCCCAGGTGGGTCTCGAACCCGCGGGCTCAGGCAATCCACTCACCTCAGCCTCCCAAAGGCGCGGGATTACAGGCTGAGCCACCGAGCCCGGCTGGTGAGCAGATTTTTATAGATCATCTTTATAGGCTTTGGGTCTCCCAGAATGAGAAGTGGCTAAGGCAGAACTTACTGGGAGAAGGGGAGCTGAGTTTTTGATAGTACCAAATTGCTCTCCAAAAAGACTATACCAGTTTATACTCTGATAATAGAAAAGGCATGTGCGTCTCCATACGCCATACTCCATTCTGCCAGCATTGGGTTTCATCACACTTTTAAATCTTTGCCAAACTGATTAATGAAAAATGGTACCTATTGTTTTAATTTGCATTTCTTTAATAAGGAGAGGTTAGAACTTTTCAAAAACATTGTTTCTAGCTCCAGTGTTTGTTTCTCCATTGGGCCACTTTCCTTGTTATTCCTGATTCGCACAAGTTCTCCTAATGTTAAAGCAGTTAGGGCAGGCGCTTCAGACCCTTTCACCCCCAGTTTGTCATTTGATTTTGCTTTATAGCATTATTTTTCCGGAAAGACGTTCAAACACTTTTCTGTAATCATAAGCGCATTTCTTTTTTGGTACCAGTGGCATTATTTATTTATTTATTTATTTTGAGTTGGAATCTCACTCTGTCGCCCAGACTGGAGTGCAGTGGCCGCTCCGGGCCACCGCAGCCTCAACCTGCTGGGCTCCGGCGATCCTTCCACCTCAGCCTTCCAAGGAGCTGGAACTATAGGCGCGCGTACCACGCCCGGCTCATTTTTGATTTATTATAGAGATGAGGTCTCACCAAGTTGCCCAGGTGGGTCTCGAACCCGCGAGCTCAGGCAATCTGCTCACCTCAGCCTCCCAAAGGCACGGGATTACAGGCTGAGCCACCGAGCCCGGCTACCAGTGGCATTATCGTAGGTACGTCCTCACTCTATCCGCAACACATTTGGGGTGGGGAGTGAGGACTCCACCCCCGCAGCGTGTGCTCCCTGCCCCACGGGTGTGGCACCCCACGTCCTGCCCCGTGTCCTTGCTGCCTTTTGCCACCCATGCTGCCACTCTCTGTCGGGACTTTCTTGTCGTCCTCCTGAAGCACGTGCTAAGCTCCTGACTCCCCCGCCTCTCATCTTTTGGGGTCCTGAAATCTCTCTTGGCTGCATGAGTGCTCTTTCTCAAGTGGGAACTTAATTATGAGGTTCCTGCTGTGGCTTCCCACAGCTTTTAAGATAAAGTTCAAACTCCTTGTTTAGAAAAATGTGGAAAAACCAAAAAGAATAGAAATTGCAAATCCAAAAGTTGAAAAATCTCATGTCATAGGTTGCTGGGCAGTCTAGCTGATGTTTAGAGCTGAGAGGATGTGTAACTAAAATACACTAAAAGTTATACTTTCAAAAGTTTTCTTAATTTTTTTTTCTCTTTGTTTTTTTGAGTCAGGGTTTCACTTTGTTCCCCACCCTGGAGTGCAGTGGCATGATCATGGCTCAGCACATCCTCTAACTCCTGGACTTAAGTGATCCTACTGCCTCGGCCTCCCAGAGTGCTGAGATTATAGGCGTGAGCCACTGCACCTGGCCAATAAATAGTTTTAAGTGGCCCAAAGAGGTAGCTTTGCAGGCAACTGACAGAAACAAGCGCATGTTCTCTGATGCACTTTTATCCAGACTTCAAAGAATTCTCATGAATGAAGTTGCAAGATCCAAGGAGAATAAACCAACCACCAAGAGTCAGGTGAACACAATGCACTGAAGAGGGCAGACACTGGAGTTCCCAGAGGCAGAATATAAACCAAGTATAGCAAGTCCTCACCGACATCATCAATGGGTTCTGGGAAACTGTGACTTGAATGAAATGACCTATGGCGGTCCTGGAATAGCATCATTTCGTTCAAAGTCATTTCATTATGCTGTTTGAGAAAACGCTTGGATTCCTGGCGGGCACTGTCTGTGTGGAGTTCCACATCCTCTCCATACCCACTGGCTTCTCCAGGCCCCTCGGTTTCCTCCTGCGTCCCACAGATGCTCACATCAGGCAAACTGGCATCTCCACAGCCCTGTCCCAATGAGTGTGGTGGGTGTGAGGGCACCCTGAGATGGGCTGGGGTGCTGTCCAGGGCCAGTTCCTGTCTTGAGTCCTGAGCTGCCAGGACAGGCTCCAGCCCCCCGGGACTCTGAACTGGGAGAACTGTGTACATAATTATCTTATTTGCTTTCTTGTTTTTATTCTTCTTTCTTAAATATATGTATAGCTCACATTTATTTTGGTGTTTAATATTAGAAGTATTTTGGTCTCTATTTAGAAGTTTGGTGATGTTTTTGTTTGCTGTCACAACTTACCTCTTGTTCTATCAATTAGCCTAGGGTAAAATTGGCTTTGTTATACATCATTTTGCCTAAAGTTACAGTTTCCAAGAACCTATTGGCAGTATTAAGTGAGGACTTACTTACTATCTATTAAAAGAAAGACTAGAGGAATCTTAACAGAGGATTTAGAAACATTCAGAAGTAGCCAGGCAGATTGGGACCAAAATCACTTCTAGAAATTGAAAATATTAAACTGAAGCCCAATATGCCCATTAACTAGATTAGGTATAGCTGAAAATATATTGAACAGGAAGAGGGTTCTGGAAAAATTGTGCAGAATGAAGCACAGAGACAGGAGGAAAATATGAATGACAATTTAAGAAACTGCACTCCAGTCTGGGCGACAGAGTGAGACTCCAACTCAAAAAAAAAAAAAAAAGAAACATGGAACATTGGGAGGATATAATATGCCCTAAACTGAAATTCCTGGAGATAACAGAGACAACGCAGTAGATGCAATGTTAGAGAAGATAATGGCTGAAACATTTTCCAGAACATATATATAATAATGGCTGAAACATTTTCCAGAACATATATATAATAAGATATTATTCTTAAGATTCAGGAAGCCTAATAAATCCCAAATAAGTCCAATAAAATTAAATATCCACCTAGACACAACATATTAAATTACACAGTACATTTACAAAATATAAGTCAATATAAAAGCAGCCACAGCAAAAAATATCGATTACCTTCAAGGTAATAGCAGTTAGATTGAAAATTGGTTTGCCAACGGCAATATTGAAAGGTAGATAAATATCGGTGTCAAACAAGAATTCTGTTCCCAACAAATACCTCTCAACAAATTATCTTTCAAGAATGAGAGCAAAATAAAGGTCTTTTTTTTTTTAAATTCAGGGAAGCTATGTGAAATGCTGAAAACACATGATAAACTCAACACCTACTACTTACTTGACAAAGAAAACGAATAAACTAGACATAAGACATTATAAGCTCTCTGAGCACACAGAAAATGCTAGTCATATCCATAGTAGGCACTCAATACAAATCTGTGAATGACCCTCTGGCATGAGAGTAGCTATCTGCTGGAAACAGGCACTGTGGCGATAGTGAAGTATCGGAGACATTCCTATTGCAGGGTGGCACAAAGCACAGGTGGCCGCTATTAGCATTATTATGTAATGTTGTACCCGAGGTGCTGCTCAAGAAAAGTAAATGGTGACTCTGAGGAAGAAGGCATAACTGGCTTTTAAGACAGTGGCAGCTCCCACCTACAGACAATCATCTGAAAAGCGATCACAAGTAATGCATGCAGAAATTTGGCCCAGGAAGAAATCTGACATAGCTCCTCCTATCTAGAGGCTCGAAGACCATCCTTTCTCAGGTTTTGTGCAAATTAAAACAATGCAGTCGTATTCTCTCAATATTGTGTACCTACTGGGGACACAAAGAGTAGGTGGCTCTGGTGTTTCAGGGAGCTCTTGGCTGAGCAGTAAACAGGACAGTGCACCTGCTACTGACTTTATTGCCTATGATGGGTAGAGAGGTGCCAGTTGTCAGTCCTGTCGGGGGAACACAGCAGGGGGAAGAGCCATCAAATGCCCCAGAGGGAGATGATCCTTAAATTCCTTAAATTGAGTCCCAATTCTCGGCCATGTTTTAAAGGCAAGACCTTCTGCAGCCTGGTGTGGTGGCTCATGTCTGTAATTCCAGCACTTTGGGAGGCTGAGGCAAGAGAATTGCCTGATTCGGGGGTTTGAGACCTTGTCTCTACAATAAATCCAAAAATTAGCCTGGCGCAGTGGTACACACCTGTAGTTTTAGCTACCTGGAAGGCTGAGGTGGAAGGATCGCCTGAGCCCAGCAGGTCGAGGCTGTGGTGGCCAGGAGCGTGCCTCGCACTCCTGCACGACAGAGGGAGACTCCAACTCACCAAAAAAAAAAAAAAAAGTCTCTCACCTGAATTGTCATCCTCAAATGAGTAAGACCCGTGGCCATCTCTGCATTTCATAAATAGAATGAAAGATGTTGAAAGGATGAATTCATCATTTGACAGATTGTGTTATACGCTGAGATCAGGAGGCTTTTATTTTTAGGGGGCTAATCGTACTAAGTACTTATATAAACCTATCTTGTGAAGAGACGTCTGAGGAAGTCTAATCGGTTCTAATCTGATTATTCTAATTGATTTAGTTGCTATAGTAGTGGACCATGGTGTGCTATTAATTAACAAATAGTCTTTTCATTTTCAACTTGAACTTAAGCTCTGATAAAACAATTGGATTAATTAGAACACCCGAGATGTGGCCTAAAATTGATGACTTGGGAGTTTAAAATGTTGTTACCCAGTGCTGTGTTTTTCCTAAGTGATCATTGCTCTTGGAGACGCATTCCTTCTCCCTCTGGACACAAGGAAGCACTCCCCGTAGTGGGTGGTGGTCTCCTGTGGCTCTTGTGTCTTTCGAGCCCCTTCTCAGGTGCCTTATCCTCTGCCTGCCCCCCACTACGGCTTCAACAAAGTCCTTTTTGTCTCGAAGCTTTGCCATTTTTACTTCAAACAACTTATTATTAACTAGAACGATTCTTTCTTTTCTAGGATTGTAGAAATCTATAGCAGAAGACTACAAGGTAAGCTTTTAAAGTCTTTTTTTTTTATTTACAGAAAACATTTTTTTCTTACAGAAAAGTATTGTTTGTCCTATTATAAGTGTAACAACTGGCTGGGCTCGGTGGCTCAGCCTGTAATCCCAGCGCTTTGGGAGGCCGAGGTGAGTGGATTGCCCGAGCCCGTGGATTCATGACCTGCCTGGGTAACTTGGCGAGACCCCATCTCTACAATAAATCAAAAAATCCGCCGGGCGTGGTAGCACGTGCCTGTAGTTCCAGCTCCTTGGAAGGCTGAGGCGGAAGGATCGCCAGAGCCCAGCAGGTCGAGGCTGCAGTGGCTGGGAGCGGCCACTGCACTCCAGTCTGGGCGATGGAGTGAGACTCCAACTAAAAAAAAAAAAAAAAAAAAAAGTGTAACAACTATAACTTATGAAAATGAAAACCTCAAAACCAGGGCATGATGCTATGTACCCATCCCAGCTACTTGTAGGAGACTGAGGCAGGAGGATTGCTTGAGCCCATGAGTTTGAGACCAGACTGGGTAACATAGTGAGACCCCATCTCTCTTTTAAAATGTATTTTATTTTAAAGATGTGGGGTACAATTCAGGATTAGGTATACAAGTGGTCATCGTACAGGTGAAGTTTGGGCCTCCTTTTGGGCCCCACTTCGCCTGGTTTAAGATCAGGTACCCTTATTGGTATTATGTGCCCCCCCCCAGCAGTTTCCAGCTGCTGCCAATCCCTTTCTTATAATATTATGATAATTGTTCAGGGTCCACTTATGAGTGAGAACATGTGGTACTCAGTTCTTTATTTCCGTGACAGATCACTGAGTATGATAGACTCTAAATTCATCCAAGTTGCTGCAAAGTCTATAATTTTGTCCTTCTTTATGACTGTATAATACTCCATCGTGTAGAGGTACCACATTTTTAAAATCCATTCCTCTTTTGATGGGCAACATGGTTGGCTCCATGTTTTTGCTATTGTAAATAGTGCTGAAATAAACATGCATGTCAAGGTTATCTTTTTGAGGCCCCATCTCTCAAAAAAAAAGTATGTTAATAGCATGTACAACTAAAGTCAATTGCTGTGCCTCTTTATTTGCACAGTGTAGAATCTCATGTAAGTAATGACAAAAGTGAAAGAAACAAAGTTAAAACCTCACAGGAAAGTCTCCTGTGTTTCAAACTTCCTGAAGAAATAAATGACTGTTGTGTTTGCATATTCCTTCACATTTTAATGCATATACCAACATTTCAAATCAATTTATTTGTATTATATTTAAGCAAAAATGAACTCATATGTAATTGGCCCCACTTTCTTTTTTCCCTGTTTTTTTCTCTTACCAAATCTTAAATATTTTTTCCCACATGTGTAACAATCTCATTCATTTTGGTGGCTGTGTAGAATTCCATTGTGTGTGCCATGGCTTGATGGAACCAGTCCCTACTCTGATAGACATTTGGGCATTTTGTCAGTTTCCAAATAGACGCAGTGCTGCAATGGACACTCTTGTATATATTCAAGGCGAGTTGTTTTATTTGGGACAGGAACTATGTTATTGAGTGAAGTCATTGGTTTTCAGCGTTGCTCTACGTACAACTCAATTGTGGGACTGCAGCCCCTTTGTTAACCCTATTACAAGCTGTGTATGTATTTGCTCTTCTCCACCCCCATGGAGGTGCTTGTTAACCAGAGCTGTGTCGGTTCCACTGCACAGGTGAGACAGTGCCATTCTCTTCCTTCTCCGAGAGATTCTGGGGGACTTCAGGGGTTCCTGGATCTCTTCAGCACCTGTACTGCGGGTGAGGGAGTTGAACACTGGCCCTCTTGTGGCCTAGTCAGCAGACAAAGCCAACTGGTAAAAGCCGGTGTGTCTCGGCTCTTAAATCTCACAGAGGTCTGCTTTTTAGGATTTTAGATATTCTAGAGACCAAAACAGGAGAGAAAAGGAAAAAAACCTTCCAGCTGTTTGTGTCCGACTCTTAAACTGAACTCCTTGTCATATCCACAGTCCAAGAGCGCCTTACGAAACAAATTGCTGTGGCAATCACGGAAGCCTTGCAGCCTGCTGGCGTTGGGGTCGTGGTCGAAGCAACGTGAGTCGCATCTGCCTGGAACGATGTCGGAATACCATGCCCCAAACGTTCTCAATAGGCGGCATTGCACAGTCTATCTAGCACAGGAGGTCCCAGGCTGTGGTTGCAGCCGCTGTTGAGCCTAGCCCTTTGCTGACTCTTTCCTTCATTGTGCTGCTGATCTAGGAACCAGGGCATGTGAAAGGTGTTTTTGAGGGGTAGGAGTGGACGTATGGGGGTCCTAAGCATAGGTGTCGAGATTTGCACAACCAGGAGTATTTTTATTTTATTTTATTTATTTTTGAGTCAGAGTCTCTGTCGCCCAGACTGGAGTGTCGTGGCAGACTCACAGCCACCCCAGTGTCAACCTGCCCGGCTCCGGCAATCCTTCTGCCTCAGCCTTCCATGTAGCCGGAACTACAGGCACGCGCTACCATGCCCGGCTAGTTTTTGATTTATTGTAGAGACGAGGTCTCACCAAGTTGCCCGGGCGGGTCTCGAACCTGTGGGCTCAGGCAATCCACTCGCCCCGGCCTCCCAAAGTGCTGGGATTACAGGTTGAGCCACTGCGCCTGGCCAGAAGCATTTTAATATTTTCACCAGATTTCTTCTTTAGCTTTTTGTTGCTCCAAGCAGAGTTTTTTAATGTTTTCTCACGCATTTAAAAAATAGGGTACCCGGGCTTGGCGGCTCAGACATATAATCTCAGCACTTCGGGAGGCTGAGGGGGGAAGATCGCTTGAGCCCAGGAGCTCAAGACCTGCCCGGACTATGAAGCAAAACCTCATTTCTATAAAAAAATAAAAATAAAAAAAATGAGCCAAGCATAGTGCACACCTGTAGTCCCAACTACTCAGGAGCCTGAGGCAGGAGGATCACTTGAGCCCACAAGGTCAAGGCTGTGGTGAGCTGTGTTCGTGCCACTGCACTCCAGGCTGGGTGGCAGAGTGAGATCCCGATTCAAAAAAGAAAAAGAAAAATTAAAAAGAGAGCCAAAGATTGGTACAAAGGGCGACTGAAAGCACTTCTTTTGGGCAGAATGAGTTACGAGGATGGCACCCATCATGTAGGCAGTTTCCATTAGTTGTGGCAGAAGCTCTGTTCTGTGTCCAGTGCCTGGCTTCATCATGGGGCTCGGACTCCCCAGCTACCGTGGCCTAGATTCTGCCTGGGGAGACCAGCATACGTGAGCATTTCTCGGAACATCTAAGCTAGCATGGTGCTTTCTTGGTCCTGAAGATGGATCGAGCAAGAATTCTGACTTTATTTGGATCTCTATAGACCTTTTATATAATTTTCACCCAGGAAGAAAATCCCATTTTCCTCCCTCTTTTTGAATGTGTTAAGGACTCGACTACTGATAAGAATAAAAGCTACCAGGCATAGAAACTTCAGGAAAAAATGTTAGATCCTATTTGCCTCAGAAGGGATATTTTGATGTACTTCGTAACTGTGAACTGAGATTAATCTTTAGGCTTGCTTTTTTATTTTAAAAGCTTAAACTAGCAACTGTCTACTCCTTCCAACGGCCTTTGTTGTCTTGTTTTGTAGGCACATGTGTATGGTCATGCGAGGTGTGCAGAAGATGAACAGCAAAACTGTGACCAGCACGATGCTGGGTGTGTTCCGGGAAGACCCAAAGACGCGGGAAGAGTTTCTGACGCTCATTAGGAGCTGAGCTCCGGCAGGTGCAGGTGGGCTGCGGGCAGGACCGCTGGCCTGGTCTGTGTGGTCGTGTTTGTACATTTCATCTTCAGTTGTCACAGACGATGTGAACCTCATGTCTTGTCACTAATTGTATTTAAAAATTATTTCTAGAAAGTCAAATAAAAATAATTTACAAAGGGGTGAGCCCTCTACTTTCTTCCTGCCATCTTTTAGTGGCACTATTAAATGAACTGCCAGTCATGTTTAAGTCAAGTGCACAAACCACTGCTGGGCAATCCTGGAGGGCTGGAAGGGAGAGAAGCTCATGTGTTTTGTTGAAGTTGTGTAGGAACTTGACTCACAAGCACAGGGGCGTCGGGAATAGGGAAGAACCATGGCCAAGGCACAATTTTTTCCTCCTCCAGCAAAAATGGAGTAGTGCTGAAATAAGTATTTATGTCCAGGGTACAGTATTGCTCTGTGAATTCAGATCCCAACAGGCTCCACTTTAATCATGTTTATTAAACTACGAGTGACATTTTTATTTTTATTTTGAGTCGGAGTCTCACTCTGTCACCCAGGCTGGAGTGCAGTGGCACGATCACGGCTACCACAGCCTCGACCTGCTGGGTTCAGGCGATCCTTCTGCCTCAGCCTTCCAAATAGTTGGAACTACAGGCGTGCGCCACCATGCTCGGCTAATTTTTTTTATTTACTGGAGAGACAAGGTCTTACCCGGTTGTCCAGGCTGGTCTCGAACCCCTGGACTCAGGCAATCTTCTTGCCTCGGCCTCCCAAGACATTTTATTTTTTATATATTTATATTTTAACTATCCAATTGTCATGTTAGTCAGCAAGGGAGGGTGGTGGAATATCTATGTTTTTACCATGAGTTCAAATGGCACATTTCTACCTTCTATTCTTCTTTAATTCAAGTACAGGGAACCTATTCCTGGAGTTGTTTACGAGTATATGCTCATGTCAACATACGGGGATGTAAACATTTAACTCTCTGTGCCTTGGTGGGAATATCATGTCCCGTAGTGCGTAGATACTTTTGCCTTCCTTTAAAACTTTATAAGCCTTAGTACTGCCACTGCAAGTAACTAGCCTAGCACAGTATTATCTTTAGAAGCTTCTTGGGTGTTTACTTTGTGTGCTCTGTGTAGATGCCTCAGAACCTTTTTTCTGGTCTTCTGAAATTTGTATACAGTGTGCGGTATTGCTCTATGAATTCAGAGTCCAGCAGGTTCCACTTTGATCATGCTTTTCTAAGTATTTCCCGAAACTTTTGGGAGCGCCCATCATTTTCAGGTCTGCAGAACCGTGTCTTCTGTGAACCCAAAAGAACACCGATGGGCTGCTGGTGACGGCGTGATGTGCTGTGTCCAGTGTTCTGAGCCAGGCTGTCTCCCTGGTGTCTGTGGATGTGCACTGGGGAGCCACAGTCTTGGTGTCCCTTGTGGTCCACATGGGTCTTGTCTTCAGTGTAACTCTGTCCAGGTAGCATAAAGATGTAATCCTGGAAGCCTTATTAATGATTATCTTAAAATTTCCTCCGCTGGGGCAGTGTGGGTCAAATTAAAACAAACAAAATTCCAACTTCTCTGTAAAAACACAAACACAATTATTCCACAGAGTCTCATTTGATTGACATAGTGCTCTTCAATTTCATCCCATTATCTTAAAGATCATTAACTACGATGCTTGCTTTCACTTTGGTCTCATCTCTGACATTTTGATGACATTTAGTTTATGATAAGGCAAGATGGCAGAGGTTTGTTTTTGTTTTCAAATTCTCTCCTACTTCTATGTACTGGCTTTTTCTATATTTGGAATTTAGGTACAGTGATAGTTGATTTTTGAGTTCCTTTTAATCCAGTGTAATCATTAGCCTGCTTAATATTTAGACATTTACAGGTAGACTTCGAAGCACTCAACTCATGTTTGGTTTGTTTTAAAATAAAAACAAGTGTGACTTTGAGGACCAAAGACATTGTTAGCTATAAATTTGTCTTTATGAGATCATTTTTATTCTTTTTTAATGTCTCTTTGTTCTAACATTTCTTCTAGAAGTGTTCTTATAAAGGTCTAATGTATCCACAGACTGTTGTTGTCTTTTTGGTAAATGCAAAGTAATGAACTTATTTATTTTACTCTGGTCTGTAGTACTGCAAAATTACCTTTTCATATCCATAACCTTGAGTCCACTTTGGGAGATTTTAAAGAATTTGATGCATTTAAATACACTGTTCAATGAAACTGTTTGATTTTATGTATGTGTGTGTATGTTCCTGAAGTTGGTTCTGTTTAAATTATTAAAGTACCATAACTTTGTTCTTGTGAAAGTAGTCTCTTTTTCAACCATCAGTATAAATACCATGTATAGATTAATTTGATTATTTTGTTTTCTGCTATAGCAAACATTCCCATCATAAGCTTCTTCCAGCCATCAAGCTGTTGGAATATGAATCTCAATTGCAGTACAAAGTTAACCCCAGGTGCTGACAGCTTCTCTTTGGTGTTTGGTTGGCGTATTACTGTCTTCACCCTCTTGCCAGTACTGAGAAGGGGCGGTCTGGGATAAGAGGCAGGAATCCGAGTGGCCCTCATGTCCTCGTCCTAATCCTAGACAGGGAACTGCAGCCTCCTGGGAACTGGCACTGCTTCCTGTGTGGGGGCTGCTGGGGAGGGGAGCATGGCTGGGGCAGGGAGCCTGTGGGGGAAGGGAGCGGAAGGTGGTTTCCTTCCCTCTTCTAGGGAGATTCTTTCCCGAGCAAAACTTCCAGTTGGGAACAAAGGGTTTCTCTGCGCCTCTTCTGTCCCATCCCAAGCCCTCCTTACTCTCTTGCTGGTGGTCTTCTCCCCCACCCTCCCCACCCCAAACAGAGATCCTTGCCTCCACGGGTTTCAGCATGTCCAGGTGCCAGGGCCCTGCTGCCCTTGTAAGACCCTGTAGGCTGTTGGGTGAAGAAGCTTCTTGCCCGAAGTAGGAATGCTTGCTGGCACACAACATTCCTAAAACACAAAACTCACAGGTGTCAGTAAAACAATGCTCAGCTCACTATCACAATAGCAAAAACATGGAACCAACTGTGCTGCCCATTGAAAGTAGACTGGATTTTAAAAACATGGTACGTATACATGATGGAGTATTACACAGCCATAAAGGACAAAGTTATGGACTTCGCAGCAACTTGGATGGATTTAGAGTCTATCATGCTGAGTGATCTATCACAGAAACAAAGACCCAAGTACCACATGTTCTCACTCATAAGTGGACCCCGAACATTTACTACAATACTATAAAACCAAGGGGTAAACTGAATAGAAAAAAGAAAAGCTAGTAAAGAAAAATCCGTCTGAGACCATTCTGAGTAGCGGGGACCACAGAATTCTTTTATTCTGGTCATTTGGGAAGTATGTTTAACCATCCAAGGGCAACTAATCTCAGCAAAATCGGCTGAACACTTCTGAAAGTTGACTTTCTCGTGAGCAAGGAGCATATGAACTCGAAGTCCTTATCCAAATCTTATCTGACCTTTTCAGTTAAGAAGGTTAACAGTTATCAAAATCACCTCTCCATGAAGAGGTGGGAGAGTGACTTCTTATGAGATCGCTGGACTCATGATGGACACAGGTCCTCCTGATGGCAAGAAGAGGGAGTCTCAGTAGATGAGCTGAAGGTTAGGTGTGAATACCTGACTGCCCCACCCTCTGGGAGGCACTCGTTTATGTTTATTTTTGTTTCTGTTGTGGAAAATAAAGCATGTACACCTGTCGAGAGACCAGCATGTGACCCTCCCTGGATTTTCACCCAGCTTCAAGGAGTCTCAACTCACGACCCGTTTTGTTTCCACTCCACCTCCCTCCCATACTGGATTATTTCAAAGCAAGTCCCAGGCATCATTTCACCTAGGTATTTCAAATTAACTAAATGAAGTGGAATCATACCAAATGCCATCCATTAGCACACCAAAAATTAGTTCTTTAATATCAAATAAGCTGTCAGGATTCAATTTTTCCCTATCACGTCTCAATTGTTTTTAGTAGTTTATTTGAATCAAGGTACAAATGAGATCTATGCATTGCAATCGGTTGACTTGTTTTTCTAGCTCCCTGCCTGCCTTTCCCCCCTTCCCTCCCTTCTCTTTCTTTCTTTTTCTGAGACAGGGCTTTGCCCTGGTGCCTGAGTTGAAGGGTAGTGGTACAATCTTAACTCGCTGCAGCCCCAAACTCCTGGGCTCAAGTGATCCTCCCACCTCAGCCCCTCAAATAGCGGGGACTACAGGTGCACATCACCATGGTTGTCTAATTCTTTTCTTTCTTTCTTTCTTTCTTTCTTTCTTTCTTTCTTTCTTTCTTTCTTTCTTTCTTTCCTTCCTTCCTTCCTTCCTTCCTTCTTTCTTTTTCTTTCTTTTTTTTTCTTCCTTTTTTTTCTTTTTTCAAGATGGGGTCTTTTTATGTTGCCCAGGCTGATCTTGAACTCCTGGCCTCAAGCAATCCTCCCACCTTGGCCTCCCAGAGTGCTGGGATTACAGGGGTGAGCCCCCACACCCAGTCCTTCGTTAAATTTTTTTGTATGTGTCTTAGGAATCTAACAGATTCGCTTCTCATTCCCTCCTTCCCACTTTTTCTTTATAATTTATTTGGTCATTTGCTTTTGGAGAAGTCCTGTGTTTCCCCCAGGAAATGTTCAGCTGCGGGAATGTCTGTGACCAATGAAGTGAAACTCCAGCCAACGGGAAAAGAGGGCTGTTGCCTGCCACAACACTTCTCCATAAGCCTCGACTTCCATTCCTGGCAACCCCGGGCGCCCTGGTCCTGTCTGGCCTTTCATTCGGACGTAGAGAGCTCTTCCTTGCTTTGTAACATGGAGTCATCTTCCCTGGAGTGGAACTGAGTTCATTCCTTTTTCCTGGGTCTGTCTTTCTGAGCAGGCTGTGGTTTGAACACATTTACCACACGGCTTGAACACATTTCTTCGGCTTCAGCCTGGTGGGATCCTTGGCTGCCAAGATTGGTTAAGCTGGAAAGGTTATTACAGAAACTGAAACAGCCCCACAGTCCTGGACATCACCCTGAAGGCCTATCCCTGGGGACATCCAAGAGGTGGGTGTCTGGGTTTCCTACCACTGGCTTCTTTGGCTCTATTTCTGTGACCCCGAGTAAAAACATCAGGCTC